ATGTTTCCCCTCATCTCAATTTGTTTCACTCTCTCTCCCTGTGTCACTTTGTCTAACTCTCCCCCCCCCGTGTCACTTTGTTTTAGTCTCCCCACCCCACAATCTGTGTCACTTTGTCTTGTTCTCTCTCTGCCACCCCACAATCTGTGTCACTTTGTCTTGTTCTCTCTCTGCCACCCCCCCCCGTGTCACTTTGTCTCGCTCTCTCCACCCCCCGTGTCACTTTGTCTCGCTCTCTCACCTTCCTTTGTGTCACTTTGTCTCGCTCTCTCTCTCCTCATGTCACATCTCACTCTCTCTCTGTGTCACTTTGTGTCCATGTGTCACCATTTTATCGCTTTCTCTACATGTGTGACCTTGTATTATTTTCTCTCTTTCTGTCTCTCTCTCACTCTTTCTAAAAACAATTTGTCTCTCTCTTTCTCACTCTTTCCCTATTGTCATTTTGTCTTTCTTTCTCTCTCTTTCTAGGCTCACTTTGTCTCTCTCTTCACTCACTTTCACTTTATCTTCTTTAATCACTTTGTCTTGCTTCTAGATTTTTTTCTTACTCTCTCTCTCTATTCTGGTCATTGTGCTTCTCTTCCCACTCCCTCTCTTCAACCCCTCTCTATTCAGGTTGCTTTTCTATTTTCTTGTGTCTCTTTCTCTTTGCTGCATCCCACTTTCTTTTTCTCTGTTCTGTTTCATATCATATATGGAATGTAGAAAGAGAAAAAGTATCCAATTGAATCTTGCCTTTTAAAAAAAAAAGTCACCTTGATATCCCAAATTTTCTCATGGGACTCACTATTTATTTATTATTCTTTTTAAGTGATTCACCTGACCTTCTTATGCACACTCACTCACTCACTCGCTCGCTCACACTCTCTCTCTCCTTGTAAGCTCTCTGCACATTTATACATATTCATTTCTTGCATTCCTCTATTGCTCTCTTTCATCCTCTCTATATACCCGTACCTTTTTTTTTCTCTGTATTTCCATTCCCCATTCCTGTTTACTTGCACACATTTGTCATTTTCTCTCTCTCTGTAATTTCACTACCAATCCTTTTTTCTGTTTTATATAATTCTCAATTAACATCAACCTATTGGAGACTCATTGTATTCTATCAGCATTCACACTCTTTGCATAGAGATTGAAATATTGTCTCTTTTTCCCATAAATTTGCCTCTCTCTCTCTCTCTCTCTCTCTCTCTCAACAATTGCACAAGAAGAATACAAATTTCTTTTTCTCTGTCTTTTTTTTCTCTGTCCCTCATTTTTTTTTTTCTCTTTCTGTTTTTTGTTTTACCCTCTGTTTCTTTTTTTTGTCTTTCCTCCCACTGGTGTCTTGAAATTGTGTGTGTGTATGTATATATATATATAGTTTTAAGGTAAGGCATGCTATATTTATGGGTTAAAGCGCTCAATATCAGGGATACAGCCCATGTAAATATGAAAGTGATGGACATTAAAGTCAACACCTGGTGTTGACAGTCTATCTCATGCTTAAACACAATTGTCAGGCCATATATATATATATATATATATATATATATATATATATATATATATATATATAATTATATATATAATTATTTCAAACATTATTTTTAGTGGCTACCCATATTTGACTAGTCATTCTGTTTATTTTAGACGTTATTTATTTCATCTACTGGTCTGTGTACTCAAGAAATCCTAAATAAAATATGCACTCCAACAGGGTTCAAATCCTGTCACAGGGCACATTTTCTTAAGTTTTCTTGAGTACGCAGACTGGTAGATGAAATAAATAATGTTTAAAATAAATGGTGTGTCTACACAAATACAGGTATTCATTAAAAATAACATTTGAATTGATAAAAATGACAGATTAAAAAATAAGAGCCATTAATTATATATATATATATATATATATATATATATGTCATCTTTGATAATGGCTTATGAAAGCCGAAAGCTTAGATTGGATTTAAACATGTATCAATATGGTGATTTCCTTTCGTCCTTCAATGATAACGTTATTAAGCTTATCAGACAACATGAAAGGAACTTAATTAAAATAGACAAAACTTGTCTATATTATTTAATGAAACATGCATCAATGAAAAATTGCTGCCTAAATATACACAATATATATATATATATATATATATATATATATATATATATATATGACAACAACAGACAATGTAAGTTTTGTAAAGACAAAATTATGTTGAAAGCACCAGAAATGTAAAAGGGAAAATAGCAAAATGTTTATTTTCTTCCTTCTCTTTAATGTTAGAATCAATAAACATAAGTCAATTTTGACAAAAATCTTTTAAAAAAAATGCTTGCTGTTATTACAGTTGTCACTATAAAATCAAAATCATTTTTTTAATGAAGTTAAATGAAACTAAAGGCTTCTCATGCATCTCATAATAGAGAATGAATTTTTCATTAACCAAATATTCAAAAGTTCCTTGAATTTGAATAGCACACAAGAATTGAATGTGGTATGGACATTTGCCCACATTGTTTGTGAGCAGTAATTTTTATGAATCAAAGGGGGCAATTTCAAAGGAGATGACAGGGACAAGATTTTAAGATACATTTGAGCAACATGTGTTCAATTTGGTGAGCCAACTAAGTCCTTGTGACATGTAGTTGAAAAGCAAGCTTTACAATTAAAGTAATGAGAAATTTTTCTTACAATAGCAATTGGATATGAATACATAAAGGGAAAACCTGAAATGAGGGAAGTTTATTACAACCTTTGCTGCAAATATAATAATTGGAAGGGAGAAGAACTAAAGGACACAGACGTAACATCTCTATATATAAAAAAAAAAAGCTGGTTTTCATTACTTTGTAATGTCTCACTATATTAGTTATCGTTTCTTTGTGATGAAAACCTGCTCAAATTTATGAGCATCTTGTAGGACAGCTGAAGCATGGATAATCAAAAATGGTAAAACTTGATATTACTATGAATGGAAAATGTTGGTTCCAATCTTGGTTGGAATTGCATAAAAACAGCTCCCTCTCCAAATTTATTGACAAAACATACAGATGCATGCTGGGATTTCTTCCTAGCCAATAGGCCACTTCTTGGTCTCATCTACCATATTTCTGTTCTTTCTTGTCTTTAAGTTAGAACACAGTAGTCACTTGTCTGTATCCTTTTTTTGTGTTAAAACCATTCTTCGTTTGTGAACTTTTTGCCTTGTATATAATGCTTGCTTAATATTATTTTTCTCTTGTTCTTTTCTTTCTCTTGTTATTTTTTATTGCAAACTCTGTCAGTTCTGTTTGTTGGGCATATCTGCCAATTTCTGTACAGAAAATATACTTCTGATATTAAAACACTCTTATATGAATTATGAGGAAAAACTCGTCTCAATTCATTTATCAATGCAATAAAGGAAAATATTTACCAAAAAAAATACATTTGTTCCAGACACTGAATTGACAAACTATTTAATTTTCATTGAGTTGAACTTGTATTCTGTTTTTATTTACAAGTGTAGTAACTATTTTGGTATAAATTTCATCGTCAAGTGAAAGAAGTATTATGAGAGAGAGGTAGTCCAAATTTAAACAAAAAAAATTCACTTTAGTGAATTTGAATTGAAATTGCAGTAAAGATAGACAATCAAACTCTTTATTCTTATATCATCCCCAGCATGATGTCACAGTACCTAATGTTAACACATAGGTAATTTCTGTAACAAACTGCATGGGGAAGAAAAACTTATATTTTAGCTTAACTTCTTGGCAGTTATTGTGTTTGAGTGTATAGTCTAACCAATTTCATTTAGTTTCTTTTCTTTTTGTTTGTTTTTCAACATTTTTGTTATTAAATAAAATACATTGTGATAATAGATCTACTGAGAAAGGTGAAATGTTGTAAGGACATGGATGCAAATTTCCTGTAGAGGATCTAATGATTAAAGCACTCTTTATACACTTTTGTCTTAATAAATTGTTTTCTAGGATCTAATGATTAAAGTACTCTTTATACACTTTTGTCTTAATAAATTGCTTTCTCCTTTAATTAAAATAATTTTTTTTTTAAAATCAAAATCATGGTCAGACTCATTACAGTGAACAACTAATGCATTGAGTGCGTTGTTTTATAAAAGGTCCCTTTTGCATTCATTTAATTTTTTATTTAAATTCCTTGAGGTTTCTCCTATTTATTCCTTGTAGCAATTATTATAGGTGATAGAGTAAATTCCTACTTCAAGTTTTAGTTTATTTTGTATTAAGTCATTTATTGTATTAATAGTTGTAACATATTTTATATTTAATAATTAGTATTTGTATACATATACATTCCAAAAACTAAGTTTTTAGGAACAGAAAAACTTCATTAGAAACAAAGATAAGAGTACTGAACTGTTATGTGATATCTGCCCTCCTATCGGGCAGTGAATGCAGGACAATCTCCTCAAAGGTGAAGATTTGAAGCAACAGAAATATGATTGTGCAGAAGGATGCTGAGAAAACTATATACTGAATACGTAAGCAACGACAGTTTTAGAGAAAATGGAAACAAAAAGGAAACTTCAACTTAACATCAGGAATAGACAGTTGAAATTTGTAGGGCACATAATAAGGAAAGAGGGCTTGGAAAATCTTATACCCACAGGATACACTGAAGGCCAGAGAGACAGGAAAATAATGCGTAACATACCTAGTGAGCTTGAGTAAATGGATGGCAGAACTATAAAGGACAGGAAATTGTGGAGAGCCATGTTCACCTACATCCTGAGGGGATACTGCATATAAATAAGATTCATGTGCATGTTGTTATACTTTATTTTGATCTATTTTTGTTGTGTTGATCAAATTCTGAATGAGGCTCAACTGTGTATCTTTTCTGTTTCTCTTTCAGCTGTGTGCATATTAATCATTGAAGCATAGCTCCAGTCTATTTGGCCCATCTGACCTCTCCCATTGGCTGACTCTGTCAAAATGGTGGAGCTGAAGAATGTCCTCCGTGCACCCCTGCCTCAAGCACCCGTGAGGTCTCGTTTCAGAAAGTTTTATCTCTACAGGGATCCTAATGACTTTCAGGCCATCGATGCTCATGCCATTGAGGTAAGTGAGAAAATTATTTTTTTATATTTGTCTTCTCATTGTCTACTTTACTCAGCTATTTTGGCAACATCTTAGAATTTAGAACAAGAACAAGTCTATCCTGAACTTGTTCCACCCAGTATCTCCAATTTCATGTGATCAGTGGTAATAACCAGGGTTACAATGTGAGCTATTTTCAAGATTTTAGGAGAATTTTAAAGCAGAAAAATTCTTCTATTCTTGCTATCTTAGAATCAATAAGTATGTTTTTTTTTATATATATACAGCAAGCATTCTAATTTTAGGCATCAAATTATGAATGCTTGCCTTGTGTATTTAGAGTTGTTTTTTTTATAGACTGCACAAAATATGTGTTTTGATGTATGAGTTCTCATTTTAATTCAAGATTTGATGGGAATATGTTTGTTTATTTCTTCATGATTACCTGTATTAAATGCTTTAAATTACCCCCTCACACCCACAAAAAAAAACAGCCATATCATGTTGAAACACTATTTCTCATATGTTCAGTAAAGTAACATTGAGCCTAGTCAGTACCTAGTTGGGTGACCACTTGGGAATATCGGGTGCTGTAAGCTTGGATGTGCAGGTGGTGTAATAGTTAATGACTTGAAAATCGGAGAACAAAGCTGAGTGGAATTGTCCAGTTAGGTTTATATTCACTTACTTACAAATAACCTTGGGAAAGGTATGAATTCACCTCATCTGCCTGCAGCTATGGTTCAATTAGTAGAACTTGGATCAGTAAATCATTATTAGCTCCAAAAAATTCTTAAATCTGAAAATATTTTCTGGCTTTAAATAACCTGCAAAAGGGTGATAAGCAAAAAACAAAAAAAAACAAACTAATTGATCAATACAAAATATTCCAAAAAAGAAAATGTTGAATGCAAAAATTAAGGTTTTTCTTTTTTTTATGGTATATCCTTCCTGGATATAGGCATTATTGCTATTTAATGCCAACTTTTCTTTAATCTCTGTGAATTGCCATGATTTCTTGGGAAAAATTGTGGAACGGTTTCCTATTACCTTCTCCACTTTTGAATTCAGAGTTTTTTCTCGTAGACTGGCTGTCACTCAAGAGCCCAATCTGCCTGCTATTTAACCCATAACTGGGGTGAAGAGTTGAAGGAGACAATTTAAAAAATTGATCTGGTAAAGAGTAAATTTATGGGTAGACACACAGATAACATGAGTGCTCACAAAAGAATGGTGGTTTCTTTCTAAACAAGAATGTGTTTTATATAAGACATTGCAGAAAGTGATGAGTTGTTTTTGTAATGTTTAGATTGTAAAAACTGAAATGAGAATTGCTGAGTCTTTTCCAAGTTGTTAAAAATTCTATTTCCTTAATTTTACTGGCCTTGGGCAATCACTGTATACATTTCAGTTTGTATGAACTTATTTTTCTCTTAAAATGGTCTGTACATTACCCTATATTATTGATATTTGTTATACTCTTGTATTTTTTGTAATCATTTGAGATCTTGTAAAGTTTTGCTTTTATTAAGACCCTGACAAACTCTACTCTTTCAAGACCTTTACTGGAATATTGAATTATGCACTTTCATAATCCTTAATGAGAATTAGAGAAAGTATTAAGTCACTATATAAATAATGTGATGTAAATTGCATTGGGTAGGTTCCTCATTGTGTCTTCAATGTTCTTAAATTTCACATGTGCTCATTTTATTGTTTTGTAGGTGGCTCAGAGAGAACATAACACCTTCAATGATCTTTTGATGGATTTGGTGATTAAGCCTGGCTTCCAGACTGAACTGGAAAAGGCAAGGTAAATACATCATGACTCCTTATGCTTAGAAAAAAAACTCTGTTTGCTTTATATTTGGGTTTTTCCTTTTCTATTTCAAAGCAACTCAAATGATTCAATTTGTAATTGGCAATTGTAGCTTCAAAAGGATACATTGCTATAATTAATAATTGATTAACAAACAATAGTAACATGGTTGGTCTTGTTTATATTTCAGTTTTTATTCCTCCTATAATATCTTCAGTATTGTGACTTATGTTGCCAATTTGTAGAAATGAATATATGTATTAAAATCAATACAATACTTAGATGGAAAGTGGGAAAATTGAGGCAAGTGGCATATGTTAACAGAGACGCATATTGGTTGAGCTAATGTCGATTTTAGTGCAGTGGATGTATTTGCTTAGGAGAAAAAGAAAAAAAATTCACCATGTTCAACCAAACAGTTTTTCCACCATATTTTTTCTCTTTTACTTGACCTAGAAAAACAAAATTCTTGCACACCTGAAAAAAAATGTAGACTTGATTAAATGCTAAGCAGAATACTTACAGGGGTGATCACTTAGTAATACCAATTGCTGTAAGCCTGGATGTTTGGATGTGTAATGGATAACAGCTTGTAATTGAAATATATATATATATATATATATATATATATTTCATGGGAGAGAGTAAGTGTGGTTACTATATCAGGTTGAAACACCAATTCTCATCTAATCACCGAAGTTAAGCAACGCTGAGCTTGGACAGTAAGTAGATAGGTGACCACTAGGTACTGTAAGCTTAGATGTGTGTGTGTGTTTGGTGTAATGGATAACAGCTGAGAGCAGAGTTCCAATTCCAGTTGGGTTCATTATATACACTTAAATGCAAAAACCCTTGAGAAAGGTATGAATGCACCTTTTTTCCCCACTAGCTAGGGGTTAATTAATAAGACTTGGATCTGTAAATCATGATCTCCAAAAAAAGTCTTATAACTGAAAAATATTTTAAAATAATATTATATTTTTAAATAACCTGCTTGATAATCCTTAAAAAACAAATCCATTCAGGTATTGTCCTCAAGCTTTCTTCAGGTGTTTTTTGATCCAGATAACCTTCAAACTAAATCTTTCATTTAATCTATGAAAGTAGATTGTTCTCATTTTGCTATCCATATCGAGCAATACCACTTGTTCCTTTTTTTAGTATAACTTGATTGTTGTCCGTCCTGTTGTTACTGATTCTGAGTCTGTAATATCTGACTAAGGGATTGAACTCACAATTACTAAATAATTATTATTCACTATGCTACCAAATTCACAAACTAATATTTTAATCCTGTAGATTAGTGTTGACTGGTACCTAAAGAAGACTGAAGGGAACAATGGCAGTAATGTTGTGATAATATCAAAAATGAGGACATTAGTCTGTACGTAAATCAGGAGTGTCAGACTCAAAGATACAAAAGGGCTATTACATTGATGGGGGTAGATGCAGCAGGCCTGATGCTAGGATATTATCATTGAGGAAGGCATCAACTTCAGTGGATGGTACATCAATTTTCACAGATGGTGGTAGGGAGCAAAAGTTTTCAGGGTGGGGAGTCAGCTTTCCCTAAAATGAGTTGTCAAATTTATTTCTTATAAAATAAAAAAAAAATCGATATTGCCCCAAAGTACATTTGTACCCTCTTATTTACAAGAATAATTTTATATTTACAACATTCTAAAAACTAATAGACTTGTATTAAAACTAATGCAATGCAATATTTATTTATCAATTTATGAGGAAAGAAATATGAAACAATTTTTATTCATAAATTTATAAACATTTACTCAATTATTCAAATATGTGAACCAACTATAAGAAAATCCTTATTATTTACCATTTTATAAAATTTGAATCATTTGGCATTTAGCAGATGTTTTGCCAACTATTCCATTATACAATATAATAGTGTAAATAAACAATCTAATAAATAAATAATAGTGTTTCTTATTTTTGTTATCAATTCTCAAGAACAGAAAGAATGTATAAATTCACTTTCATCATACAATTCTAATCATCACTTTTTTAAAGTGATAAACATTGCTGAGGAGTGAAGGTAGTTAAAATTATAGCAGTGTCAAGGGGGAAAACCATCCATTTTGGTCCAAGTTTGCCTACATTTATTTTTAATATTATTAAAGAATATAAATTTATACTGAAATAAACCACAAATATTTAAATAATTAATTTGGAACTTTTATTCAATTAATTTTATAACTTTTATATAACCATAAAACTAAAACATTAACCTAAAAACTTGAGTTCTGTTCTTAAATAACTTTGTCAAATTGACTTTCATATGGATGTCATGCATGGCACTAAACTCATTCAGAAACATCTAAACTGTCAGTTGTGTACATCTGCCTTCTCAGATCAATGGTTAAAAAAAAGCTTAAAGTGAATAAAGCATATAGGTCTTAGTGAGGATCATCCCTCTTCAAATCTCATAGACAAGTACTACAGAATCACAAAGAACTAAACCAAATAATAAAAACCACATTGCTTGAGAACTTTCAGCAGCAGCAACAACTGAAATGGATAGCACATATAATTTGAAGAGAAAATGACATAATAAAGATGTTTACATTCTACACTACTTCAAACAAACGGTTAGGAAGGAAGCCTTCATCAGTACTGAATAACCGTGGTCTTGCACAACCTATTTTCCTGAAAAATTGTTTTGATAGAAAGATTTCATAAATTTCAACCAATGGTAAAACTGACTGCTTGGTCAACAAATGCCAAATGTTTCCTTATAAGGAAGCATTTAATGTTACCTTATTTGAGATGAGCAGAACAGCTACCAGCCTGATTGCCAGAGAGAGAAGAGAATTGTAACTTGAGTGGCACTAGTTGTTCAAATGTTTCCTTATAAGGAAATAGTTAATATTACCATTGCTAATCTAATGGAACTGAGTAGAAAAGTATGCAAAGTAGAAAAGAAATGTTTTTATAGGAAATGTGACATTGTAAAAAATTTTAAATTAACAGATATTATTTTTTAAAAACCAAATCTACAAAGAGTATAAATAGACAAGTTGCAAATACATAAATAATGGTTTCTTTCTGTCCCTACACTTGGCATTAGGGTTTATGAATTTCTCTGTTCTGTTTCTCAATTCACTGATTCACTGGAGAATTGTTATGGTTTATTTAATAACCTATTTGTTGCTTTTCTAGAGTGATATTTCGCTGGATGACTGCCAAGAATATGTACAACATCAAATTTTCCAACTGTGAGAAAGGAAGTCCAGAGGAAACATTGGAAGCCTTCAAGAACAAGAAAGGAACCTACGCCAGGATTTTCGAGACCATCTGCGGGTAAGAGAATATTTATAACAAATCCTAGCACATTACTCCATTAATTTATTTGATGGCTTCATTTTCTTGATAAAGAAATAAAAATGTCATAAGTTTCTTAGATCAAGCATTGTTTAAGTTCTTGACAAATTTTCTTTTATCTTACTTTTGTTGCATGTGTACATGATCACAAGTCATGTATCCCATTAAAACTATTGGGACACCACATGTACTGCAGCTATAACAGCAGTTTGGTGTGTTCTACTATTCCCCTTCAATATTGGTTACTCTGCCAAGGCTAAAGAGTATAGTTTACCCTGTTATTTATAAAAGCTTGAATTCAATAACAGTTCTGTGAGTTGCAAAGCTGTAATTTGTTTACACTTGATACTATTACATCTTAATCTCTTAGATGAAAAGAGTGTCACTATTTCTAATTTTTTTTACAATCTAATCTTTGTTGCTTTTTTATACCCAGTAATAGCAGTAAAAAATAAGTTTTGATTGTTTTTTTTTTCTTAGCTAAAACATTTTCATTACTGAGTTGTATATATATAAAATATATATATATATATATATATATATTATAATAGTTAGTATTGGTGAACAGTTAATAAAATAATAAAATTATGCTCAATGTAAACTGAGCACAACGCAATCTTCAAGTGCTGAGTTAAGACTGACCATTACATAATTTGAATTTTGGTATATACCAGATAAGCGTAATAATGGAGCAGTCCATAAATTAAATATAAATATACACATCTCTTTCTATTTTGTCAGCTGATTGATGTTATCTTCATCATCCCAACTCCAGAGTTTTGTAGATGGACATTCTGGGAATTAAACTGTCCACTACTCAGGGGTTATCAGCAATTGACTGCTTATACTTTTCAATTTTTCTTTTTTATATGCACTTTCCATTGTGCAATTTTTTTGCATCATGCGCATGTGCATTTGCATGCATGCAGCCATTTCTGCATATATACATTTTCATTGGTTTTTTTTGTTCCCCCACTTTACACTCACAATCTTATTCTTTTTCCTCCTCCCCTCTTTTCTTTCAAATGCTAGCATTTAACTTCTGGTTATTATAATATATAAATAAATAAATAAAAGTGGACACTGAGGTTAACACTAAGCAGCAACAGTCTATTTCATACTTGAATGCAATCTTCAGGCTATATGTGTTGTGCATTGCCTTGACTTTGTCAATGGTCCTGGTCGGTTGCGTTATCCAAACAGTTATTGGGCAAATGGTAACAGTAATATTTGAAATTATTCTCTAGGCTGTTGAGTAGAAATAAATTGTAGATCTGAATGCAGTTATTTGTAGCTATTTATAGTGTTTTTTGTTAACATTTTATGCCATATTTATTATTTATTACTTAATTATTTGTTATTAATTATTATGAGTATTATTATTACATTTACTTGTGTTTATATGTGCATTCTTATTTGTTAATTTGTATTATTTACTTAGATTTTTTGTTTACTTTTATTTTTGTGGGAGAGTTAGTTACCTTATTTGTTTAGTTTAAAGTATTGGCTTTGTCTAAAGTAAGTTACATTATCTACATTGTATGTAGTGCATATATTTGCATTTTTATGGTGGAATTTTACAAGGTATTCATTTTTAGTTTGCAATTTTTAAGTAAGGTAGTAAAAATTTGTTTTTGCGTTTGCATTTTGAGATGACTTATGATTGTTTATTTAATAATTTGTGTTGGTCTGAGAAGGTGATGATAGCTATTTTCCCCTTGAGACAGTGTTTACACTGTTGATTTTATTGTTGGTTGATGTGGTTTTCCTTATTTTCCATATTTTTTATGTATTTTAGGTTTTGTTTTAATTTTCCATATCTGTTTAGAAAGAATTGTGCTATTTGCATCTTCACTATTTGTAAAGGATTTTTTGTATACATAGTTTTCCTGTTCCCAGGATCCTTCAGTTACTCATATATATTTTTTCTTCGTTATCTGCTGATTTCACAGTGACTTGGTATATTATATTGTTTTGCAAGAAATTGTCATTTAAGGGACCTTTGTTTTTTTTCTCTTCAGTTACAGTTACGTGCATTTGATTTAGGCAGGTGGTTTGTTGGTTATTTTTCTGTTGTGCTTTTTTATTATTAATGTCATGTTCTGGGTGTAAATGTAGCAGATTTTTATTGTGCTTCTGTTGAATATCTTGCAGAGAGTGCTTGATGGGGGAAATGTTTGTATGAGCTTTTTATTTTTTCTATTTTTGCTGTATGGTGGGTTAAACCATATTTTACATTTTGTATTGAATAGTGAGCATGTGAGTGTTGTTGAAATTCCACTATCTTTTAAACCTGTTTCATAATCTTTTTTAACTTATGTCTATGAAGGTGGGTTGAAAAGTTCATAGGCTGACTTTGAAGGAGCGATGCTAGAGCAGTGAAATCTTGCATGCATTATAGATGGATGACAGGTGATTTACTATAAATTAAATAGCCAATGCTATTAGCATATCCCATGAGAGAGTTGAGAATATTCTGCACAATGAACTTGGATGATGAAGGTTTTTTGTTAAGTGGGTTCCATGTCTTCTGATACCTGATCAAAAGCACACCAGGCTGATCACATCTGACACTGAGGCAGGTTCAGTTAGTTTTCTTGGATATTTCCTAACCCAAGATGAATGTTGCCAGAAACACAGATAATCCAGTGGAAACATCCCTAAAAGAAGGCCAAAGTCTTTTCATCTGCAGGAAATGTAATGACCTCGGTTTTTTGGGCGCAAAAGGAATTGTGTTTATTGATGATCTTCAAAAGGGATACACCATCAATGGAGAGTACCATGCCAATTTTTTGAAAAATTTACAAAAGACTATCAAGACCAAATGCCCAGGAAAACTGATGAAAGTGGTCTTGTTTCATTAAAACAATACTCCAGAACACAAGTCCTTGGTTTCAATGGTTGCTGTGTGTGACTGTAGCTTTGAACTGGTTGATCATTCTCTCTATTCGACTATCATCTATTCTCCAATATGAGAAACACTTGGCTGAGAACCAGTATCGCGATGATGATGTCATATCTGATATTGATGACTTTTTTGACTAATGGGGTAAACAGTTTTCTTTGAACAGTCAGATGTCAGTTTACCTTGAAAGAAACAATGTTGTTATTAATAAGAAGAGTTGAAATTAATGCATGTAAGATTTGACAGTTCTAGCATCACTCCCTCATAATCAGCTGATGAAGTTTTCAGCCCACTCTTATATGTCAAATCCCATATTTTTGGAAATGCTTATGATTATTTTTCTGGTTTTGTTTATTTTGTTCTTTTTTTTGTCTGTTATAATTTCTTAGACGATGGTCACATAATCATATGTCATTTTTATCGATTATTTTACTTAGCTCATGTAGTACATGTATACCTATAAGTTCACAGGATATGTACCATCAAAACTGCTCATTGTAATGTTGAAGGTTCCTTCTTCTTTAGCCATATGTCTTCATTCTTGAATAATAGTGATTTTAACCAGTGCTTGATGATTTTTACTTGTGTTTATTTCTATTTGTTCTGAAGCTAAGGACATGACCTTATTTAACATGTGTTTGGTTATAGAAGGGTAGAATTCTTTTATATCTGATTGTATAAATTGGCAATTATATTTGTTTTTTTCCTTTGTTTTTTGTTTAGGCTACAGAACCAGTCTATAAATGTTTTTTTTTTTTTTTAACTGGTTTACTCCCATCTTCATTCTTAGTTCTGAGTTAATTCTTTCATTTCCATCCTCCGTTTTGTTTATTCCTCATTCAGTAACCCTTCCTAGGTTACAACAAAATATATATAATACATTAAATACAAAAAATAGATTTAAAGAAATGTACATATATTAACATAATTATATACATATACTGCTACACACCTCTCCTATATAACCCATAGATAAACACTCTTCCTTGTGTGGCTCTTGGGCCTTTTATTGAGTGATCTTTTAGTAAAAAAACATTTTGTAGATAATCAATGAACATATAAATATCCCTATTTTCATCATGAACTGAATATTTTGATGAATAGGATCGCTTATGGTACTCAGAATCTTTGTAGTTTTGAGTAGAATGTCTTTAAAGACGATGGACATAAAAGCAATACCAATCCAAACAGATAACTGAAATCTTTTATAAGATCAGCGTTCCGTTTAAATATGATCACGTCGTCGTCATGTTGAATTGTATATGGTCTATGTTAATTATGTTTTATGAATATGTCCTGAAGATGGTCTATTAGACCGAAACATCCGACGTTGACATTAAACATTAAAACAGCATAATTGCATATTAGGATTTTTGTTTGTTTTTTCAGTATATTTTTCTTCAGATGAGTTATTATATTTAGTTTTCTTTGGACAAATTTTCTTGTACTTTTTTTTTTTTTTTTTTTTTTTTTTTTTTATTTTATTTTATTTTTAAAGAAACATTTCAGCTGTGTACCCTCCAACCTTCATTAGGTGTCTATTGTGTTTGAGAAGCAATCTGGATAAACAAACAAAAAGTAAAGTATGACAAGGATATTAGTTTTAAAACTATATTCAATAATATATTAGTTCAGTTATTTATGAAATAAAGAATAATTTATGTCTTTTTTTTATTTATTTTTTTAACTTTTTATTTCTTCAAATCTTTCCCTCCTCAGTTATTCTGGTCTCCACTGTACTGTGGTTACTGGATTGGCCAAAGGTCTAGACTACCATCCTGGTGATGAGTTCAAAGGTACTGACTACAACCACAGCTGGAATGCCATTTTCATTGAAAATAACTGGTACCTTGTTGATTCTCACTGGGCAACTCGCTACCTGGTAACTGACAACCAGAAGGAAAATCTTGTAAGTTGACTCTTTCTTAACATTTAATTATAAACTAATGGTAACATGCTTTTCAGTTGGTGACCAGTGACCCATTTTGCTTGAGATATATATATATATATATATATATATATATATTGCAAATGTGTGAAACTCAGGGTCACAAACTCGTATGCACAACAATATATATATATATATATATATATATATATATATATATATATATATATATATAAAATATTCTTTTTTATGCTAATGATTTTTTGGTAATATGAAGGGTAGAGGTACTGAAAAGTTCTCACTCAAAATTCTTTCTCGATATCTGTATTTTAATGATCAAATAACAATGTTTTTTTTTTTTTGTATTTTAATGATCAGATAACACTGTTTTTTTTATATCAAGAACAAGTTTAAGGGAAAGAAGCATGATAAAGTGGAAAAAGTTTTTGTGACACATTTTGGCCTTTATTGGATTAAGTTTATTTTTACATTAATATGATTACACATGTGCATGAATGAGAAATGCTGAGAACTTTAAATTTTATTTTATTTTTTTCTAATATGTGTTTTGCGTATATAATCTACCCAATTTCATTTAGATTATTTTTCTTTTTGTTTCTATTACTTTTAAATGATTAAATGACTAAATATCAAAACTGATTTTGAGAAGTGGGCTGAGCCAAGAACTTTACAGACTCACTGTGTATATCTTGAAAACAATTGTATCTGGTTTTCTTAAACCTCATTAATAAATTCTTTTTTATATCATTTTATAGAGTCACTTCAAAAGTCTAATGTCAATTAATAATTCACCATATGAAGTACCTATATGACATTATGAAGACCTAAAAATCTTTTCCCAAATCACCCAAAATCTTTTCCACATTGTCATTAATTTACCTAATAATACTATAATTAAATGATTTTTAAAAGTGAGAATATACAATTCTGTTTCCTGATGAACTTTAGGTGCTGTTCAGACTTCTTTAAATTAATCTTTTCATCTATAAATGTTTCGGTATTTAATGAATATATATTACTTTTGAAAAATAACAGTATTAAATTGTTTTGACAGGATACTTCAAAGCAAAATAAGTCAAGATATTTTATTGCAGATTCTGCAAAAATAATTATTTAAAAAATTATTTAATATGAATTGTCCATGCAAAACCAGTAACACTTGGCGTTGAACAACAGAAGCAAAAATATGTCAGAAAAATGTATGTTTTGCAGTCATTAGAAATTCTCACTGGTCTATCTTTTTTATTCATTTAATAAAATATTTAATGAAATATCTGAATATGCTAATTGCATTATCTGCAGGGTGGTAACCCCACTATCCTCACCCAAAGGGGCCACCTTGCTGATTTTGTTATGACCCTGAACTTTTTTACTCTAGTGTAAACTGGATCCATGTCTATCTATCAAATGATTCTTTGTGATTTTTGTCTTGTGAGACAAATTTTATATTATCGAATGCAATAATAGTTGCTATGTTGTTAAATTAACCAACAGAATCTATTAATGAAATATCAATTTCATAGTCATTTTTATGGTAATGATGACATTACCAAGGAGATAACTAGTTGTCTCTCCAGCATTGGTAACATTATCGACAGAAAAAATAAGCAAATATACTCTTTGGTTGTATTATAAAATATGACTGTGTCTATTTTTCCAAGTCAGCTTTCGTTCTCTATGCTTTCAATTTAAAACACGAAGAAGAATACTTGTTGACCTTCAGCTTGCTTGTAAATCTCATATCATCATTGATTGTGAGTTCAATCCTTACTGAGGTCTCAATGAACTTAATCATATACCTGATTAAGCTGAGTTACCTGCTGTAGAGAATTAGTTTTAGCATTTATTTTACATGCCTTTCATAATGAGTTCAATCTTGGCTAGGTGTTCTGTGAACGAAATTAAGTTAGCATTAGTTAACATAAAACGTACATGTAAATTTGTAACACTGGCATTAGCACAAATATTCCCAATTAAGACTAAATTGTAGAACCATGATTGGGAAATGAGCTACACTTGCATACCAATGCTGATGATTTCAATCCTCACTGGGGATTGTGTAAATCTGTCTTTTATATTGAAGCTAATTTAAATAATAAAAATGAAAAGGCATGAAATGATTCTATGATGTGAAAATTATTGCTATCTCCATTCCATAATAGTTGTTACAGTTGCATACACATTTCCTACACTAAATGTAACACTTACGGGATACAGTTCATGTTTATTTATTTGCAGTTTGTGTTTATGATGTTTTTGTTCTAATGATTTTTTTTTATATTGATTTCTTTAAAAAATCTATTGGAAATTATCTTTTATTAAATCTTTTCATTCACCTATTTTAGTATTTTTTCCTGATACACTGATGATTTTTTTTATCTTTTTTTTTTTTTTTTTCATTTGTTTATCAAACCAGAATGATTCAAGTTTTTGTGCTGTGATTTTTCAAGTTTTCTATATGAGATCAGTCTGCTTGCTTTTGTAACTCCCTGGTATTTTTATCCCCCACTCCAATAGCCTGTTGATGTCCACTTGCATTAATACGTGTGTGTGAACACACATTGAAACACTTGAAATGCTGGATGCTGACCTCTATGTCCAATTTTATATTTACATACAGCATCTCTGATACTGAACACTTTAATCTGTAAATATATCATACCATAAAAATATATATATGTGTGTGTAGCACTTTTCTATATTATGAGAAGAGTCCATTCTGCAGAATAGACAAATTGCCCTGCTCTCTGCAGTTGACTCTTCTGATGGAAATGCTACATGTTCATGTTAGAAATATAATATTAAAGAATCTTTCAAAATGCAGTGGTTTATTTTATTTATTTATTTTTACCAAATTAATTTTGTATAATGTACATCATGCATCTATTAAATTTTTATTCCCTTCATCAACCAAAAACTTTACATTGAGTTAATCTTTTAGTTTAAATGCAAAATTAATATACAAACTTGTAACAGACAATAATTCAAAAGATGGGCGAGCATAATGTAATGGCTGGTTACTATTTGTTTCCAAGCCTACCTGACTGTCAGGACAACTGATCAAACCCTATCACAGGAGCTTGCTCAATCCACAGAACACACTTGTGGTTCACACTGCAACTATACTTTGATATTAGTTATAATTTATGGGTGAAAGTGCATAATTTAACATGTTCAGTTTATTGAATGAAGGCAAGCAGAGCTGCTTGGCAGTAGTCAGTGATTGTGTTAGCACATTGCCACAAATCCTTATGACTATGAGTTTGAGCATACTGCCATAAAATAGAATTCTACAAAATTACTTTGATATCCTTAAAGCTATCATGAATGAATTGTTTATTTAAATAAGGTTCCCTTTTTGCCAAAATACAAAAAATATCCTTTGAGTTGCTAAGCAACAGATCTTTTCTCATCAGTTAGATGCAGTTACTTGTTTTTTTTTATTTTTTTTTTAAATCTTTTGTTATTTTTATTTTTTAAAAATAACTAATATTTTAAAAATATGTTCATTAACCTTTGTTTGATTTGAAGATCAGGAAGCATTTCTTTGCTTTCTCAGTCAATTTCCTGTTGTTTACATTTTATCTCTTGATTGTTATCTTTTCTTTTTAAGTACTTGTGTTTTGACTTCTTGTTTCTCCTATTTCACAAAGACTTTTCAAAAACATCTTCATTTCATGTTCATTTCTTCATAGTCTGAATCAGTCGCAACGAAGGTTGGTGCTTTATTTATTTCACCCATCATGCTTCACTGTCTTTATTTTTTTTTCATTCATCTATCCATTTTTTTTTTTTTTTTTTTTTTTACATCTATGTCTTGATTTGTTTACGACTATCAGTTTGTCTGCTCTCTCTTTGTCTATCTTCTATTTGTATCTATTTCTCACTCATTCCATTCTTATCCATCACATCCAGATTCGTTAATGCAGTTGGGACTAACCACTTCATAGTTATTATATTCATCTTTACCAAAGCTAATTTTAATTCCAAGAGAAATGTACAAGGATGGCCATTTCCAAAAATTGAAAACATTAAAGACTGAAAAGAGCAGGGGGAATCTTGAATAGAATGACCTTCTCGTATAAAGTTTTCATTTACCACTGTTTTAAGTATATCCAAAGTGAGTTATAAATTTTTTAGTCAGACTTCAAAAAGAATAAATTAACATCAAACTGGCCTGCCTCAATATTAGGTAAGTATTCAAAAGACATACATTTTATATATATATATATATATATATATATATATATATATTATTACCTCTCTTCATATTTTAATGAAAGATCATCAGTTGCCCGTGCAGCACATCTATTGGTCTCAAGATTGGTTGATGTGTGAAACTGGCAGTTATCATACAGTGTTGATTCATGTGGCATCACTGTCCATAATGCTTTAGCATTGATAATTCATTGAAAGTTTCAATAACTCATTTGTCTGTAAAGGACATCTTTAATGCAAATCTGGGATAGAATCATCCAAGAGCTTAAGCAAGACAACACTGACTGAATATCTTTGTTCATAATCTGGGCTACTCAGTAAGTAAAAGGACAGGTGTTAAACAGCATCCATTGGAAAGAGTTTAGTTGGTGCTGCAATAATAATGTAGGAATTGAATTACTATTTGCATTGCCAAATCAGAAATTAATTTATTAGTTTAACAATTAACATGGGACAAGTAAATACTCTATGAAAGAAATAAAAACATATTTTCAGCTTTTATAATAATTAACTTCAGGTAACTTTGGATATTTGTGCCCGCAAAAAAAAAAAAAATGGAATGTCAAAAGGATTGTTTTCCATTGACACTGCTATTATTTTAACTACCTTCACTCCTTTGCAATGTTTGTTTTAAATTGCAATAATTAGAATTATAATAAAATATATGAAAGTGAATTTATACATTTTCTTTGTTTTTGAGAATTGACAACAAAAATAAAAAAAATAATAAACACTATTTATTATATTGTTTATTGGAATGGATGGTAAAACATCAGCTAATT